ATCCAACTCTAACCATGCTGACTCTCCACAGCTACTGCAGACTGGTGCAGACTTTGTCCAAATGGGAATTGTGGTTAACGTCTGTATCCTCGGCTGAAGAACAACAGGATAATTCATGACTTGTTTTACAATATTTTAACGTTGAAAATCTGCAGAAATTACTGTTAACAAAAAGAAGCTGCTGTGACAGTGACGTCCGTGGACAAGTTCAAAATGTTTTTATTCCGGGACATAGCATAAGATGTACTGGGAGTGCAGTAATAGCTGAGCTGGGTGGAGCTGTGCAGGGTACTCCTGTGTCCGAGGTTAGGAATAATCACCTTAGAAGGAGGAACTTTTGAAAGTTTATATAATTATAACAATAATGCGTATGTAATAAAATTGAAGGTTCAAAAACACCTTTTGTCTGAACCGTTCTGTGTGTACCCGCCTATTTGGGTGTGAGATCTTGGTTGGTCGTGGCAGATTATGGGGCTTGAGTGACATAAAGACTCATAAAGGCAGGAATGTGCCACCAATGATTGACGTAGCACGTGTCACACGTCACCTGCAGCCATTAAATAAGACTGTGGTCTCCATTGTTGTGTATTCTTCTGTGCTTCCTTTACAGCTTACTCACTGCTGTGGTAGGTTTCCTTACATTGTGCAAATTATATTACATTTTAACCATACTGTCGAAAAGTTAGCTTTGAGAAGTCTATTAGCTTTCACTACGGGTTTTACAGTATCTTAATATAGCATTTGGATGTGTTAGCTTTTACCTAGCTAACTTATTGCTGTTTTTTTTATCATAATAACCTCTGTCTTTTTACATTTGTAAAAAACATTTAAATTACTTAAGTGTTGTCTTAGCATTTCTGGACTTTTTTTTTTACTACATTTTCACATTTCCATTGATTGTACTCTTCTGGGAACAGCTTTATTACTCTACAGGACTGTTTATCATAAACAGTCAGTGAAGGTGTGTGGCTAACAGACAGGAACTGAGTCACTGTCTCTGCTGTGAAGACCGTCCACAAAGAGCAGGAAGGAACTGAGTCACTGTCTCTGCTGTGAAAACTGAATAAGGCAAAGCTTTAAAGTGGGAATCAGGAAAATAATGGATTTTTGATTGAATCATTCAAGACAAACACAAGAGTCCAGCTCCACTGAGACCGCACTGAAAGTCATCAGCACTTTACTCTTGAATTTACTGATTACGCACACACAAATATACAGCATGTAGTAGTGATTGAATGCTTACAGTAATTCTACAACACTGTCCTCACACATGCCAAATAAATGAGGAAACAATAGGACAAATGTAGAGATAAAAATGGATATGTGTAAATAAATGGATAAGCTGAGAATTAATGTGAAATGCCAATAAATTATAATTTCACTCAAGCCATATATTTAGCTAGCATCAGAATTGTCTATACTAATTAAAACTGTTGTAAAAATGAACTTAAATTACAAGTATGAAAATGTCACCTACTCAACTGTTACCTTATACAGGTGGTTTATCACACATGGTTATAACAAATGTCTACAGTGATGGAGACACAGGACAAAATATTATAATTATAAGGAGAGGAGCTTGGATTGTTTCCCAAGGAAAACGTTACAGTGAGTGCACATCAGGTCATCATCTGCATAGCAGTTCAGGCAGGAGAAACGCAAATAAAAGAAAAGCCCTGAGACAAAAGTCACAACACTGTCTTTGAATCATTAAAAATGTTTAGACTAAACAGACAGACTTCAACCCAGGATCTCATCTTTAAACCATATTTGTACAGTACAAACCAGCTGAACAGGAACGCCGCTCAGGAGGGAATTCTTCAGGAAACCTGAACATGTTTTTATACTGACTCATATTAAAGACAAAGAGTCTGATCATGGTATGGATCTGGGGTTTTAAAGGCCACATCTCCACTGCTCCATGTACACCGTCTGTCACACGAGCTTGGACCTTGGACCACAGCAGCACCCAGCAGACACCGCACCACAAACAAATAACAATTACCAGCAAAATAACAAGATACAAATGTACAGAGGTGGTTTGTGTGTCTAGGTTTATTTTTTAGACGACAAGCGTCCGACTAGAGGCGTCAAAAAAGCATCTTATGAAATCCTCCAAGATCAAACTGTGTTCCATCTTTTTTTTTAATAAATTTCTCATTATTGTTCACATGGTCTGCACAGGCTCACAGCCAGACTTTTGTTGGATTTTTCTGTCACCCCCTGCCCTTAAATAACTGCAAACAACACTTTCACCTTGAGCCCTCTCTCGCTGCCAGTGTCTCTGCTAACAAATGATTCAGCCCAGCCTCCACAGTCTCAGCCAAGGACCCAGAGCACTGGGAGTCAAGGATACAAAACAAACAGTCCCTGTTGCCTGGCTGTGTGTATATCAGAGTGGAGAAGTCTTAATAAAGGCTTGTGGCCTGCGCTGTAACCTTTGGATAATAACACGGAGAGGAGCGGGAGAGCAGTTTGGTGGAGGGGGGCGGTGTGAGTGTGAGAAATGCGTGGTAGTGCACAGAGCCAGGTCTAATGGCAGTCCTAAAAGTGAAGTAATTGCATCAGTTAGGCCTGGTCTTCCAGGCCTGCCAAGCAAAACTGCCGGCACAGTGGAAAGCAACCAGCTCACACACACCAACCACAGACCGCCGCCAGAAACAGACTCACAAACTCACCGCAGGAAGTTTAGGGAAACCTCCGGTCAAATGGACCCCATCCTTTGACCTGTTACTCAGAAAGGATGAAATGCCGGCCTCTGATTTCCTCCGTCTTATGTTGTGTCTTAAATATGACGTGATGATAATGAGATAAAGGGGGAATTCCGAGAGAGTGAAGCAGCAGAGAGAGAGAGAGAGAGAGAGAGAGAGATTTCACAATAGATTGCCCTGCCTTGCATCATCACTCAGTTTATTTATTTATTTATTTATTTATTTTTCCTCCTTGGGCTAAATCTGAGAGCTGTGAAACCAGCAGTGGATGAAATGAGGAACGCAGAAACGTCAGAGGCAGAGAGCTGCGACTGGAGCTCAGGCAGAGGAGCTAGTTCACAGAGCTAACAAAGTGTGTGTAAGGGGCAGAAACCTTCGGTGTTTGTCAGTAAGAGTGCGTGTGTGTGAGTGCAGTGTGTGTATGAGCAAGCCGGGCTGGCTGAATGAAGACAGTGAGGGGATTTCCTGGTGCCGAGAGAAACATCATGGCAAAGGCATCCGGCAGGCTTAGCAGCTGGAGCCAAAAATGTCCTCCCTCTGCAACAGCAACAGCAGCAGCATGGGCCGCTCTCTCTCTCTCTCACACACACACACACACACAAATTCACACACAACACCTATACAAATTGGCTGAACAAACACACACACACACCTTATTGTTTAATCGAAACTGTGATCCGGCTAATTTAAGAGCTAATGTGTGTAATGCTTAGACGGCTTTGGTTAATCTGTCATTAAGAACTGCTGTGCTGTGGAGCAGGGCATTGTGGGTATGTGACAGCACTTGTGCAATTAATGTTCGTGTAAAGTCCACGCTGAGTGTCATTTCATTGAAGGAATGTCTGCAAACAGTTTCACTCCACACCTAAAGGCTGTGGCTTTTCTTCTCCTAGCCTGTACGCTACCTGCTAACATCACCGCCACCATTATGTCACGTCAATAAAAAAAAACAACATTTATATACGAATAGGATAAGATATTATGTCACGTCAATAAAAAAAAAAAACATTTATATACGAATAGGATAAGATAAGAAGTCTATAATTCATCGTTTACAAGTACAAAGATCGCAACGTGCAAGTGTAAAAAAGCATGACAACAAAGAGCTACAGCAGTAGAAGAAAATCCACTTTCCGATATATCTATAGAATTTCATCCCTACTTCCAAGTTTTAGGACCAGTAAAATCTGGACTTTTATTAAGTTCCAAGTTTGTTGATGGGGGACAGATTCATCACCAACAAACACTGTCACCACAAGAGCAGAGCCACGGCCCCTCCATGGATTTACGGCTCACATCTGGATTAAAATGTTGAAGAAAACGTGGAATCTTTGTCCTGGATTTACAGTCAGGCCCCTGAGACTGACCGACCAAACACTCTGTCTGGATAATAGCTGTCATAGCTGTCATAGCTGTCATGTGACAACGCTTTTAAACACATACTTCACTGAGAGAAAGCCCCTGATAACTGCTTTAATGTCCAAATGTACATTTTATCAAAACTTCCTAAAGCTGTTTACAGAAACCCAGCTGCAAACATTTAAAAAGATTTGTTTTTTTATTGACATACACTGTAATAAGATTTGGTGTTTACCTTGTAAGTTCCTGTGCTGCCCTGGTCCATTTTGGAAACCATCATCTAAGGTAGGGGGAAAAAATACACCAAAGTCAGAAAGAACACAAGAACACAATCTTTAAACACAGTTTGACCAAAGAATGAAACACAAATTAAGAGAAAAAAATCTGGTTTAAATATTATGTTATGTCATTAATATTGAAAAAGTTTTAGTTCTTCTTCCAGAACTATAATACGGGGAATTACTCTCTACATTTCACTCATCTCTGGATCCCTGGTAATGTGACCTGGGAGCAGTCCAGGCGCCAGGATTCAAACCGACAATCCTTCCATTACAAGTCTAATCCTAACTTGGTCTGTCAGACCAGAGGAAGATATTGGTTTTTTTATATCAAAGACAACATATTATTTGTATTTCAAAGTTTTACCCTGTGCTGTTTGGTAGTTTAAGTCATTGTACTGATTGTAATTAATCATTTATTAATTTATGAATCATATTAATATGGAGAACATACATGAATGAGAGCACGAGAAGTTAGGAATGACCCTGTTCATGCCGCTGGGTCATGTGCACGTATAAATATAGCACAAGGAACCCATTGTTAGTGTCTATTTTAGCACAAGTACAGTGTAGAGGCTGAGGCGTGTGTGCTGCTGTTGGACACACAGAAGACTGAGTTTCATAAAAATGATTTAATTTTAACTAAAGTAATAATAAATGTAAAAAATAAATGAACTAAGCACTGTTCAGCGCTCTCCTAAGATTGCACCCTGAGACTTTAATATGTCACAGAACTACTGATCTATTCCCAGAGTAACATTTTTATTTTAATATTTTAATATTTGGATGAAACAACAATCTCAGTGCACATTTCATTTTCCATAGTGACCATTACAGAGTCAAACTGTTTAAGTTGTAAACGTCTCCAGAACAAAACATCGAGGTAAACAGGACATGAACCATCTGGAGCTGTTCGTACTTCACTCTTTTTTTATTTAGCCTGTTTAAGGTTTTCCTTCATAATACTGCATTACCGCGGAGGAAATGTTAGCGGCGGTTCCGTTTGTGTATGTTTGCCGTTAAAAGGAACCTGCTTTTGAGTAATACTCACCCATGTTTACTGTCATCATCAGGAAGTGACCCTGTTGAACTTGAGCACGGAGCTCAACTTCTCTCTGCAGGCAAAGCTTTCACCCTGTGACAAAAAAAAACAACATGGTTTCAACATCCAAACAGAACCATTTTCCTTCTTCTCGCTGCATAATATTTATGCCATTGCACAGAAAAACAATGACCAAACAGGATGCAGGTGGTAGTTTAAACACAAAAGTGCCCCCCCCGCCCCCAGCTTCTTCTAATTCATTTAATCTGTATTTAACCAGAACGCTCTCATGTGGTTTATGTGTATTTTTCTGGGAAAAAACAGCTGGTAACTAGGTAAATCTAAATCTTGCTAACGCCTTCGTACATCTCTTTCCTGCCTCTCTCTCTCTCTCTCTCTCTCTCTCTCTCTCTCTCTCTCTCTATCTCTGCCTCTCTGAGAACCACATGTCGGCTGTCATGGAGGAATCTGTCTGTGTGATGATGGAGAGGCCTGTCGTCCTTGAGATGCTGTGGTGTGGCGGTGCAGCAGGTGTGGGACGTGCTTGTTGTTTGCCTAACTGTCAGCCTTAGGTAAAGACCAGAAGAGCTTCAGACACAGAGGACGGCTCCAGTGAGCAGAAAAACGTCTGTCACATCCCATAATGGCGTGTTTTTGCATCTGACACTTTTTTTCTTTTATGCTCCTCTGATGACGGGGAGTAAACAACAGAGGAGGAAAGCCAGCTGTAAAACACTTTCCATAATCCGCGCTGGAGTGTTTAGATACAATAAAGCCATTATTCCTGGTTGTGGAATGATGAAATGTTGATTTCTCATTAGGACGATGGCCGCATCCTGTTATGCTGCCTGCAGATCTGTCTCTCTTTCAAATGCAAGTCGAGCAAAAAGGAAACAGGAACCAGAGATGGAGTGACGGTGCAGAATGTAGAAACAAATGGAAACTAAATACAGAGAACGTTCTAGATTTCAAAAATAAACAGCGTTAAAGTGACTGTAAATCTCTGGGCGCAGAGGCTCATGTTCCAGCGCAGTTGTTATAAAGAGTCTCCAGAGGGATTCATAAAAAGAGCAATCCCCCCGGAATTTTCTGCAAAACTTCATTAAGTCTCTGTTTCACTGTCTGCAGCGTCCACGTTGTCCACCAGTCTGTGTGTTTTCTGCTCGGTGTCTGTGTTTTCTACATGTCTTTCACGGCCCAGCTGGTCAGCAGGGACGGCAGGAGTTTCTGGGCTTCTGGGATTGATTTGAAGCCTAAGGGGCGAGGACCAAGAGTGCACGTTCTTGACAGTTCCAACATCGGGAAACACGTTAGCCACAAAATCCAGTATTCTGAAATCCATTACTTTTTAAATTGTCATTAGTACTGATTATTCCAACAGTGTCACCTCCCTGAGCATACATTACCACACTGAAGCAGGAAGTATTTACTCAGAGTGGAAAGTTCTAGAGAATTGATTCGGTTGCTAACGTTTGACGTCTATCTTTCAATCATAAAACTTTCTGATGTTTGAACTGGAGAGCATTCAAAATGTCAGGACACCAGTGAGTCAGAAAAACACGGGAAGTATAAGAATATTATTATGGCCTGGACCCCCACTCCCACGAATTGAAATACTATTGACAACCTAATAACGTATATTCTTTATCTGTACAAACCACTGTATGAGTTGCTGCCACCTAGTGACTGGAGGCTTGTTATCATTCATGCATTACAGCAGTGATGCACTAACGTCCATGTGCGTGCAATATTCCATTGAAGACTTTCACGCCTCCCCGCCCCCCCGTCCCTCACCACGCCCCCTATTGGGGGCCCGTCCCACTATTTGAGAAGTACTGCACTAGATCAACTCTGACTTTAAGTACATTTTTATGAAGATAATGCCACATTAATTGAGAGGCTGCTGCAGCAGCCTGTCCACACACCCAGTCAGGTCTCCACTCTCCACTAAGTGGAGACACAGCATCAGTCTGTGGTAGTACAGTGCTGGACCACAGGACAGGTGGTCTCCTCCAACCACTTCACCCAGTCCGTTAAGGCCACACACACACACACACACACACCCCGGCACACAGCAGTCGCCTGCTGGCTGCCCGCAAGCCACCAGACGGTTCACCCAGTCCGTTAAGGCCACACACACCCACACACACACCCCCCGGCACACAGCAGTCGCCTGTTGGCTGCCAGCAAGCCACCAGATGGCCCATCTGCTTCACCCCACTGCCCAGCATGAGTCCAGGCTAGTGGTGCCCACTGATCGCACGCCCAATTCTCCCCACGTGTCCTGGCAGGCGGGCGGTGTGACAGCCCAGCTTGTTGAAGATCAAATGCTAATCGCCTCTCGCTCTTGTTGCTCTGCTGCCACACGTCCTCCAACAGGAGACTGTTTGTAACTCGCATAAACTCATTTGTGATGTAAATCACGGAATAAACCGACGGCGCGTCCAACGAGACAGAAGAGGCTTCACTCCACCACTCCGACCAGTATTTCACTGGCAGGAGCCTCTCTTTCGTCACAGTAGGAGCACTGCAGCGAAATGACAAAGCAAGTTAATTAAAAGAGGACAGCAGAGGACGGGATTTCAGACATGGGTTTGTGGGGATTTGTTCACGCCAGACAAAGCACAAGCTCCTCAAACGACACGCAGCCATTTCATTGTTGTTGGAATGATTGGGACGGGAATCACGGCCAAGACTCTGCAGGCACGTATGTGCACATACATTGTCCTCTTTCAGCGCGGTTACATCACTTTCTAACTAAATAAACACAGGCTCTCAGAGGGAAACACCCCCCGCTCCAGAGCTGTGAGCTACTTAGCAGCCTGGTGGCCTGAGCAGTGACCTCATCGATGACATCACTCACGAGGAGTCCCAAAAACAACATCAAAAATCAACGGTCAAACTTCTCAAGTGCCTGTTGGAATCCCTCGATTGCTATTCTCTGGAACAGACCAAAAAAAGGGATGATCCATCAAGAGAATTAAAAAGACCAGTAGGTGGAGAGAACGGGACAGCTGCTGCAGTTTGACTGATGAGGTCAAGGCTGTGCAGAGGATGGAGGTCATGAAAATGATCACAGCAACCTGATCTGTCGAGGGCGAAAATTATGATTCAGAGCAGCGCTTCAGAGACACAAGAAACTTAAACAAACACGTTACGGAGACCTGGTCTGTGGTTTGAAGGGGCAGTGACGGAATCGCACCTTAGTCAAAACCTGATCCATTTGT